CGGGGAGGAAGGGGGCTCCGCGCCTTGCTCACCATGTAGAAGCAGCGATTGGAGGAGAGGTTGTGGCGGATCGAGTCCTTCCAGCCCTGGTAGCTGTCCTTGAAGAAGGGGAAGCGGCTGCGGATCTCGCGGATGATCTGCGGGAGAGAGCGGGCGGGCTGGGTGCCTTGCCGGGTTTCCCGGGCCGGGACGCCGGCGCGGGGCCTTCCTTGCACGGCGAGGAGGCGTCCAACCGCCCCGCTGCCGAGGAGGCTCCCCCGGGCTTCGCGGGGAGCCCGGAGCGAGAGGCCGCTGGCTGCGGAGGCGGCGGCGCACGGAGGCCGCGGAAGGGTCGTGACCTCGCCAGGGGCGGCGGCGGCGGGACGCCTTCCTCGCCAGCCGGCCCCGTCCGCGGCCGCGGGCAGGCGCCGGCCGCCTCGCTCCCAGCGGGCTCCTGCGCACCACGTGGCGGGGCCGCTCCGTCAAGGCCCCGCCGGGAAGGGGCGCGCAGGCCGCTTACCTGGGAGAGCTTGAGCCGCTTGGCCGGGGAGCGCAGGATGACCAGGGCGATCATTGCCAAGTAGGTGTACGGCGGCTTGGCGTGGCGGCTGTACGGCTTCGTGGCCTTCTTCGCGGCGGCGGCGTGCGGGGCGCCGGGGGTCGCGGGCGGCGGCGGCTCGGCCCGCGGGCTGCGCGCCTCCTTGCGCTCCATGCTGGGCGCAGGCCCGCGCCGAGCCCAGAGGAGCCGGCGGGTTGTCGGGCTGGGGCGAAATGCCTGCCGGCCCCTGGAACGCCTTAAGTCAGCTCCGGACCCATTGTCATGCTGATGGGGGGCAGACCCCTTGGCACCAGGCCGAGGCGGGCGGGCCATTAGTCGAGCGGGCGCGGCGCTGCACCTGCGGGCGGGGGGCGCGCAGGCCCCAAGCAGCGCCCCGCCGGGGAACGCGGTCCGGGACGGGGCGCCCTCCCGCGCGGCGCGGGGCTGTGGATTCGGCGGGGCAGCGGGAGGGCGGCTTCCCCGCTGGCCCGGCGCCTGGCCTGGGCCGCCCCCGGCCAGGCTCGCCGGGGCGGGGAAAGCCGCGGATTGCGGCGGGGTTGCTCCGGGGTAGGGTAGGCGGGCGAGCGTGCGCGCACGGGGGCCGCTGGCTTGTTCCCGCCTGCCGGGCTTGGGGTCGCCTCCGCGGGGAAGCGGGAGGCAGTTCCGTGCAGCGGGCAATGGATCTGGAAGTCCCGCATGAGGATCCACAGCCGCAGGGGGGGGGCAGCCCCGGGAGTCCACCCAAGGCTGGACATACTCCTCGCGGCGCTTTTCCAAGAGGGGGCCTCGGGGCCCAGCAGGTCGTGCGAGACGACCACGCGTGTCTGTGGCCGAGCTGAGATGTGAAGGAGGCAGAGCCGTCCGCCCCTTGAGGCCTGGGGCCGCACCCCGCTCGCCCTCCGACCTGGGGACCCAGACCCCTGCTTGGGCAGGCAGGTGGGCAGGCAGGTGAGGCAAGGAGGTCAGGGAAGGCTGGCGCAGAAGGGTTGCTGGTAGCACCCCCCTTCCAACCCTCGGCCTCCCCTGGCACCGTGGTCGGGATCTGGGACCTGCTGCCCCCGATGGAGACTTAGCTGTGGCAGCAAGCAGCGCCCCCGGGAGTGGAATGGCCTCCGCTGAGGTGCGCCTGGTGCCAATCCTGGTGTCCTTTCAGTGCCAGGTTACGACCGTCCTCCGGGACAGGACAGGGCAGCCCCTGGGTCCCTTGCACGAGGGGTCTCTGCAGAGGACCCTTCCTCCCCTGGCTCCTTCCAGGTGTTGCTGTTAATTACACTCATACAGTGCTCCATAGTTTGTGGACTCTTGGCCCTTTACAAATGCAAAACTCATGAGAACACTCAGTCATATTTCGGTAAAACTGTAGGCCAGTAGAACCCATATCACAGGATCAACAGCTCATAGCAACTATAATAAAATGTACATTCAGCACAGCAGCCGTAAT